TCCTTCCCCCTACCCCTTCCCCCTTCCTTCTTTCTTTGTCTTACTATGTAGCCCTGGGTGACCTGGACCTTGCTGTATAAGTCAGCCTGGCTTTGAGATCTAAGTGCTAAGATTAAAGGCGTGTGCCACCATGCCTGCTTTTATTTTGGTTTCTTGATTTGGTTTGAAGTACTAGGGATTTTCAGGTTTGACCTTCATGCAGAAATTCATTGCATACCTACTCCATGTCAAGGGATAGCAAGTTGCTAGGGAATACCATGGTCAGCTTTCTCATCCCTCACCATAAAATAAGAACTTTGGAATAGTTGTCTCTGCTCATATATCTTCTAATTCTTTTCAACATAATCAGGTTTTCTTTTTTATTACTTTACTCTAGCCACCTTTATTAGACTCACCAAATCTAGCATGTAACTTTCTTATTAGTAACCGACTTACGGGATCCGGAAACACTTTCCTTTGTCTTCTGGGGCTTCTTGCTGATCTCTTCCCATCCTCTTACTGGTTTCCAGATGGTGACCAACCTCAGGGGTATCTTCACCTGTTTCTTTTTTCTCTGTGACTCACATCCTAGGAAATACCATGTAATCCCATAACCTTTGTTATATTTAAACCTCAGCCTGAGCTGGTGTCAGGACAGCTTGAGGTTCTGATTACGTATCTTACCTTTGATTTGAATGTTGAAGAATCATCTAACACTTAACATATCCAAAATGAGTCTCTTGATTTTTGCCACTCAAAAATTGTTTCTTCACTAGTCAGCCCCAGGATAGTAAGTGACCCCAGCATTTGCCCACTTGCTTTGGCCAAGAGCCCAAGAATTATCTGTAATTTCTTCTTTATACCTAATCTATTGGCAAGTTATATTGGATCAACTATTAAAATATGTCTATATCAAACTTCATGTCTGATCCTTGTATCCCACTGCTTTGATGGAAGCCTTGATGCTGATAATCTCACAGATTTTTCTGCTTCCTTCCCTTTACTTCTTCAGGTAATGTTACCCATGTAGCAGGCATACTAGTCTTTTAAAGACCCCATTGAATTTGTTTTTTTGTTTTTTGTTTTTTTTCTTTTTTTTTTTTTGGTCTTTTTGAGACAGGATCTCCCTGCAACCCCAGCTGGTCTGGAACTCACTATGTAGACCAGGCTGGCCTTGAACTCACAGAGATCCGCCTGCCTCTGCCTCCCGAGTGCTGGGACTACAGGCGTGTGCCACCATGCCCGGCTAAGACCTCAGTGAATTTGTATCACCTTTAGAATATACTTATAATCCCATGTGAACCTATGACTGTCCAACATGATCTGACTTCCACCTGCCTCTGTGGCATCAAGTCTCTCCCTTTGCTCATTTCACTTACCACATTGTTCTTTTCCTGGTCTTGTACATCCTGAGTGCATCCATCTCAAGGCTTTTCACTTGCTAGACTTTGACTAGGCTGTTCTCACCACTGCCTCACTTCATTCAGGTCTACTCAGATAGGTTCCTTCCAGGCCTACTCTTAACACAAATATCTCTTCCCCTTTTTGTGGCACTTTACCTCTTTATCGTTTACTGTTCTCCATCATCCTTCAAAGTAGAAGTATGTGTTTTGTGTGCTTGTGTCTATATCACCAATAAAAGTACTCTTTTGTTCAAGCGTTTTTAGTATTTGTCTTTGCTACCAAAGAGAGATCAGCATATCTATTGCATTAAATCCTTAGTACCTAAAAGAGTGCCTAGCACATGACAGAGACTCAGTTATTTCTGAAAGAAAGAACACAAAATTCAACAAAGACCAGAAAGTAAATACAGTTTAGAACAGTGCAGAAGTGCTGTGAAGAGACCCACTAAAAGGTATGAAAGCAGGGCTAACTACAGACCATGAAGTGTTCACGTCCTTGTGAACTTAGATTTAGAGTACTGGTATTTTTTTTCCTTTTGCTTTTTGTGTTTTGTTCTTTAAGATGGGGTTTTGCTTTGTAAGCTAGATTGGCCATCAAACTTGTGGCCATCCTTTGGCCTCAGCCTTTTGACTGGTGTGAGGCACTGTGTTTGGTTCTTAATACTTGTCTCTTTCTCTCTCCAGAATCTCATGAATATCAGGTTGACCTCAACCTTACTGCGTAGCTGAGGGTGACCTTATGCTTGAGATCCTCCTGCCACTACCTCATGAGTACTAGGATTTCATCATGCCTGTTTTATGCAGTGCTGAGGTTTGAACTTAATATTTCATTCATGCTAGAGAAGCACCTTACCAACCACATTCCTAGCCCTTTGATGCTAGTTTCTTTTTTTAAAAAAATAATTTATTGAGAATTCATACATGCGTATAAGGCATTTTGATCAAATCCATGCCCACTCCCTCCCCTCTAACTCCTTCCACATCTCCCCATCACTTTTTTCTGATAACTTCATGTACTCGTTCTTCTTTGATTTATTTATTTATTTATTTTTTTATGGGGCTTTTGGCTACTCTAATATTCCCCCTTCTGAAGAGGTAACCCTGAAATCTTTTAAGGATTAGATAAAAGCTCCCAAATATTTTTGACATTTTTGGCCTTTGGAATGGAGTAGGTTGCTAAGAGGCCCAAGGACATTGCGAGTTTTAGTCAAGAGACTGGCTACTTTTCTTTGGGGTCTTTTTACCCTAACTGCTTAGTGAATTCCTACTTCCTGTTCTTATCACACCATCCTCTGAAGAGGTTTCCCAAATTGCCAATAGGGAATTGGGACGCAGACCACTCTGGCCTCTTCCTTGCTGAACAGGGATGCAGGGTGAGACCATTGGAGTACCCCTTCAGTGTGGGTCCATCTAAAAACTCCCAAATTGTGTAACTCTTATCTTGAGGAGGAAAAGAAAGTCTTTGAATCATGAATAGGAAATGTGAAGGAGAAATAAAAGAAAGAACATTACAAGTTCTAGACAAGGAACTAGAAAAAAGTCAGAACAGAGCAATTTTCAAATGTTAATATGAGAGTCCATTGGAATTTCCTGACATCGGCTTCCAAAAGCATCCCTCTGTTGGGTTCCTCCTCATTTTTCTTTTGTCTTCCAAGGCTGGACTCTAGAGTGATGGATTCAGGATTTGCTTTCAGGTATTTTGATAGCTGTTGGAGTAGTTAGAATCAGTGTCAGTTCCCTCTCAAAGGCTTCTAGATATGGGGGAAAAACAAATTTATCCATTGTTTTAGAACAATAGCTGGTGTCTCCCTTAGCTACAGGTGGTCATTACAGTATTGGAGACCAAGATTTGAAGTCTTAAATCTGAGCAGCACTTTCTGGTTAGGAACAAAATCATTAATGAGAAAAAATTGCCTAAATAACTTTTAATATATACTTAAGCCTAATGTCTGGGAAGTGTAATCCCTTGAACTCTTAAAGAAATATACTGATGATTTTACTCTTTGGTTATCCTTTGCTTTTGGGTGT